TAGTGTTAGCCTTAGTTGATATGATAATAGCTGTGATCCCATACGAATCCGAACTTACCAGAAATAGTCAGATTGAGTCCGGAAAATTGTACTGAAAATTATTTATTTATTTAAGAAAGCTTATATAATAATAACAATTATTATACAACCTATGAAAAAGCAGCGCTAGCAGCAGAGGCTTTCGGCTGGCTGGCGAAAAAGGCTTTGTCTTAAATGCGCCGGAGAAGATCAGTATCCTTGAGAAAATTGTAAAATTTGCATATGTTGTTAGTAGAAGGGTTCATTAGTAATCCAAATGGATCATCATTTCCAAAAATGCGATGTCTGTGATTTGCCGGAACAGGACAAAAAGCTACAATGTGTAGAACGCTAACGGGGGAATCACAATAAGGACACTGGTTAGGACTGGTACCATTCAGTAGATGACTGTTTGTAATAATGGTGTGGCCAATACGTAATCGTATATATGGAGTGGTGTGGTTTGCTGGGACGGACGTCGAATAAGTTGGTTTAGACCGATTAATGTTATTACGGGAGTAATGGTGGGTAATAATTCATCCAGTCAGCTGCTAACTTGGCACTTCTTTGTTGAGCTATAAGCCGGTTTATGTCGCTCTTGATGAAGAGAGATGGACCTCATCTGGATTGTAGGGGTGTTGCACATTTCTTTGGCAGTTGTGTCCGCCATCGAATTGCCTTTGATGCCCGAATGACCCGGAATCCACATAATTCTCAGTTTGTGGTGGTAGCGATTAGGACGTCTCTTAAAGCACAGACAATGTAATTAGTATTGCTGAAGTGTTGTATGGCTTTAAAGCAAGATAAGCTATCTGTGCAAATGACACATTTTCCTTTACTTTGCTTAGAAAAATTAAAAGCGTGAAGAATGGCAGTAGCTTCAGCTGTGAAAACAGAACAGAAGGGTAGCAGAAGACCGTACAATATAGGTATATTATTTTCTGTCACAGCAGCGAAAGAGGTGTTAGAAGATTTAGATCCATCAGTAAAAATGAACTGCCAGCCACTCGATTTGAACTGATTTGCAACTTCAGAGAATCGGGCTATGTACTCAGAGCTAGTTGTGCTGGATTTAGGAAGGGTAACAAGATCGCTGACGAATAATCCTTCCTTAATTGTCCATGACGGGTGATGAGTACCCCGAGGTATAGGCTTTGTTAGCTGTAACTGGTTGTCTCTTGCATACATTGCATATTAATAAATGGTGGATTTAACCTTAGGCAACCGCTTCCGTGAGGCAGCTCTATTAAAGTCTTTCAGAAGCAGAGAGTTGGATCCAGTGACGAATTTTGGGTAGAGCTTATAGATGGAATCTACCATTATGTCGTTTAACGAAGGCAGCCCAGCTTCAGTTAACATATTCCTTATTGAAGATGTAGGGAAGGCGCGAAAAGAGCGGCGAACAGCAGTATGGTACGGAGCTGCTAGCATCTTAAGATTATGTTTGCCATGATGCCCATATATTTCTAGTCCATAGCTGATAGTCGACAAGATGAGAGCGGAGGTGACCTTCAACAGCAGAGCCGGGCCAATGAGTGAGCGCTTGCACGAAACATACTTAATAGTACTTGAGCTAGAAAATAGTTTATCTCTTGTATGATTACAATGATCTTTGAATGAGTACTTAGAGTATAATACTGTCGCGAGTCTACTTTTAAAAATAAATTGTAGGCCAATTCTCAACGTTATAATATATATATGTATTTTTGTATCCGCTCCGTCGCTTCACGCGCCCGTCTTTACATTTCAATCGTACATAGCATAAAAAAAGGAAAAATGTCAAAACTCTTGCAGTTATGTGAGTGTTGCCAGACTGACCGTTGACAACTCGGCCCTTCCTGACCGTTAAGCTCTTCCTCAGGTTGGTTCATTGATCAAGTATAAACTGCATCATCTTCTTCATCGTCATAAGCTTCATCGATTTCTGGAAACGCAACGCACCACGGTTTCAACTTGTCGCTTGTCACAACTGTGCTGAATTTTCGACGACGACGGGAAATGCTATCAATTTCACCTACAACGTATCGATCGCAACGCAACTTCTTTTGGACAACGTACTGCCCCTTATATTTAACATCGAGTTTTCGAGATTCACCAGTACTTTGTAGTTGTGATTCTAATAGTACCAAGTCACCCTCGTTGTACTGATATGGCAGTTTGTGTTTCGCGTCGAACCGCTTCTTCCATTCTTTTCTAGCAGCTTCAATATTTTTAATGGCCTCAGTGCGCTTCTCGATGATATTAATTGGAGCTGAATTGCAATCATCGTGTATAGCGGCAAGAATCTTATTGCCGCTTATGTCCCGTAAAGGAAAATCGTATACAAGTTCCAATGGTGAATGTTTAGTAGTCGAATTTTTGCTACTGTTGATCTTCCACTGCAACCTTCTAGCTTCGAGATCCCAATCTTTCGGATCAGTGACTGACGGCTTTAAATACGCTAATATGGACTGGTTGACTCGTTCGGCAATGCCATTTGCCCTCGGAGTCCGGACTGCTACTTTTATGTGCTGAATCGCATTACCATTACAATATTCCGCAAAACTGTTAGAGGTGAACGATGTACCTCGGTCGGTCACGATTGTTTTTGGCAACCCAACAAAGAGTGTAAGCTGATTGAGGGCATCTATAACTGGCTTAGTTTTTGTAGACTTGACTGGAACAATAGCGCTGTAGCGTGTTAAGGCATCGACGATCACCAGTATATGTTCATAACCCCTTTTACTCTTTATGAAAGGACCAAGGTGATCCATCTGCAAAACCTCAAATGGAAATTGTGGGATGCCCATCCCATATAATCGACCCTCTTTCCCAGATGGTTCTCGACTAAAGCAACATTCGACTTTAAATAATTTTTAGCAAAATTGCGACACCTTGGAAACCAAAAACTCTCTCTAATCTTCCTCAAAGTACTCTCAAGACCCGGGTGACCCATATCATCATGGCATAATTTTAAAATTCGCCATCGTTCCCCCTTTGGTACCACCAAGCACGTTACTCTATCACCTTCCTTCTTATACAATCGCCCGTTTTTTATAGTATATTCCAATTCCCACACTTTTCGCTTGCTGGATGTCTGAGTACTACTTAATATTTCGACTATTTCAAAAAGCTTTTTATCTTGCAATTTATGTTTATCATTATTGTCAGTATCATTGCTGGTAATCAGTTCAACAAGTGGTACGATTTCATACTGACCATTCTCAAGAACCACTTTCATTTCTCTCAGCATATCACGCCCTATCAACAAGTCATATGGCATATCTTCATTGTTTACTACCAAAAGTTTGCATACATATTCATGGTTTTCAATCGTAACCATTGTCGATAGCGCTTCAAGCCACTCACACATTCCGCCTGCAAACCCCTTTAGTTTTACCTCACACGCAACGAATTCACCTTCACACTGTTCTGCCAAGCTTCTTTTAATTAAAGAATTTCCACTTCCTGAGTCTACAAGTCCTTTGCAATCAACATTACCAATTTTCAGATTTGTTATTATTTCTTCATGGTTACTTTCCGATGTATTTTTATTGATTGTATTTATTCTTGTGTTTTGGTTTATTTTGTTTTCACAGTTTTTCGCAATATGGCCCTTTTCTTTACACCTGAAGCAAACTAGGCCATCTTGCACCTTTGACACTTTTTCAGTTTGTCCACTTTCGTTCTTACTGGTTTCGTTACGCATTTTGTTTTCATTAAAACTTCTATCTGCATACGGCTGACTACCACTAGCACTCATGGACATTAACACTTTCAACAAATCCGAGAACTTTGAGAAGTTCATTGCCAGTAGCATTCGCGATAGCTCTTTATCACCTAACCCATCTATTATGTACCTAACTACTGCATTTTCTTCAACACGGCCGCGTTTTCCAAGTGCCAGCATTCTATAAAAATATTCAATTTGAGATTCGTCTCTCCGTATACGCGATTTCATTAATTTCACATGAATGTCTGCTGTATTAATAACACAAGGAAAGTCTGTGAGAAACGCACATACAAACTCACTCCAACTACAAAATATTGGCTCCGAATCTATCCAAGTTTTGGCAACACCTTTCAATTTGCTCATCATTGCCATATTTATTAGTCTCTCGTCCCAACCGTACGCAATCTTCAGTTGCTCTACCCTTTCAACAAACTGCACCGATGTAATGTCATTTTTGCATGGATCGAAATCTGGCAGCATATCTATGATTTCTTTCAACCCAAGTTTATTATTGTTGTGTGTACACATATTCGTTTGATTTTGAACGTTTGCACTGTTCTCATATCTTCGTAGTGAGTTGAAGTTAGAAAGACAATTCGTTGAGTTTAACATCTGCTCACTCCCTCTTACCGCTGATGATCTTATTGGCAAATTATATTGAACATCCCAATAAGACGTTGGCATTGGAATCGTCGACAGGGGACATAACCAGTGTTGCCACTCAAAACCTGTCCTCCCTACCAAATGTTTTTTTAAAAACTACCAAAACGGTTACCAGCCTACCAAATAATGGAATATGTATAAACGAAAACATTAAACGTTTTTTATCGATTTTTATTGTAAAAGGGAACATAACAACATTTCTTATACTATATAAAATAAAGCAAAGTTCACAGGAACTTCGTACAATAATTCATTGAGATCGTATAAAATCACGTATTCATTTCAGTACTTCCAAAGCGCGCATGCACCGATTTATAATACATAGGTATAGTTTTAAATCTTTATTCAGGCACAGAGCTGTTGCGTAGATATCACATTTTGTTTGATGAAATTCATGAATTCATTCAATTAAATAAAAAAAATAAAATTCGCTCTGGTGCGCCTACCCTAAATAGTTTTAACATTTATGTATCTTTGATTTGACAAGTTTTAAGATCAGCCTGTACTGTTCATACATAGTGTGCATTAATATTTCTATTAATTAATTCTTTGCACAACATTATATTATTAATTGTACATGTTTCTAACTTATTTCTAAGTTTAGTCTTTATAAGAGCGAGGTCTGAAAATTTTCGTTCAGCTGCAGCAGAACTATGAGGTAAAGATAATAAGTTAAATACAAAATTACATAATTCTTTAAAAGAATATTCATTTAGTCCATTTTTAATCATACTTATTTGTTGCCAGAAATATACTATATCCATGTCACATTTTAAATTTGTTTCGCTGAGCCTTAGCAAATTCCATTGCATTATTACAATATCCGAATCACATTCTAATAAGTTCTTAAAATGTAAAATTAAATGTAAAATGGAAACATCATTTTTAGACAGAACATTAGTAGGTGTAATAATTTGCAAAAGTTTTAGATCTTCTCTCGTGAAATCGAATCTTGTACAAATTTGATCCATGAGTTCGATGTAAAAGTTCAAAATGTTTTCTTTTACTTTCACTTTTTCATTAGCACTTAAATTTTTCTCCATATAAATTTCCGTTTTCGTTCCAGAAAAAATCAAATTTGTATCTAAATGGTTACATTTGGATTTGTAGTCAATGTTAATATTTACTATAATTTCTTTTCTTATAAAATTGCTTAAAATTAATAAACAGTTTGACTTCATACTGGTATATAAATATGGTAGACGAGTGCTTTCCGACTGAAACTCCTTGTTGAGATTATTTATTATCGGCAATATGTATGACAAAAAAAGGAAGTAAGATTTCATTTCTGCATTCATTGCGTTCGCTAATTCAGCAGGACGAATGCCATTTACCTCCAAGAAACAGGAAATGAAATATAATTTAAGACTCTCCCATTGCTCTATAATTTTGCAGATAACCCCCTCCAGTGAAAGCCACCTTGTCTGAGAGATTCCTAAAATTTTGTGAGTTGCTACGCAGCAATAGTTTTGAAATTCTTTTAATTCAGAAATTCGCTTAGGACTATGCGAAAAATAATTATAGATGTTTCTACACAACACCTCAATGTTACCTGGAAGTTTCTTGGAGGCATAACTAGAACATAGGTGCAAGGAATGACAGGTACATTTTAAATAAAAAATATCCGCTTCCATTTTTAAAAGTGTTTTTAGACCACCTATTTCGCCTGCCATGACGCTTGCACCGTCAGTGGCTAAGCCAATAATATTTTGTAAAGGAATGCTATATTTCCGGAAAAATTCTTTAATTGCGAAAAATATTGTTTGAGCGTCTGCCTGTGCAAGCTCAATCATAGCAAGGAATCGATCGTGGACTACGTGAACACTGTCCACATATCTGGCAACCAGTACTAAGCACTTTTTCATGGAAACGTCTGTTGTTTCGTCAACGATCAGTGAGAATTTGTTTTGTTTAAGATAATTTACAATATTTTTACTAGCCAAATTTGATAGAAACTCAGTCAGTTGAACTGATTTAGTTCTTCCACATTTAATATTTTTTGCTATATTTGAATCTGGACAACATTCAGTTAATAAACCCGGTAAATAATCCATTAATAAGAATGGAAGGTTGTGGGTTATAAGGAACATCACTAGTGTAAGTTCAGCATCGCGTACCTGTTGTTGGAATTTCTGATGTTCTGGGCCCAAAAATTTGTCAATGGAAAGTTGCTTCTTTTTGCGCTCAAGGTTAACCACATGGAAGGTTGTCTTTTCGTGGTTTTTAAGGTGTGTCAAATGGTTCAATATTGTTTTGTCGCATGCAATGCAAAACGCGCACCCATTTTTGTCTCGTACCCAATCGAATTGTTGGAACCATTCAACTCTGAATTTTCTTTTAAATTTCTGCTCATCTTCACTTTTATAGTTACTAACAAATAAACGAATGAAAATATTTTGCCGCCAAACTACTGCAACTGCTGTATGTACACTTACCTGCATGAAGCTTTTGTTTGGGAAACATCGCTGTCCTTTTCAGGAATTAGATTGGATGTTTTTGTCAGAAACCTGTAACATTATGATACTTTTTTAAATTGTCTTATGTAAATGGATTATGGTGGATATCTTACCTGTCCATGGTTCTTCTAAATTTCAGCAAGGCACCCAGGTATAATTATATAGTTAACGTCTTAAGAAAACCTATCGCAGTCTCATTTGAATTTTTCCAATAAATGAAAAGAACATAGTGAATGGATAATCATTCACAATGGAAAAAACCCAAGCTTCAAAGAAGNGCTACGCTCATTTCGGTTGAATTCAAATTTCTTCTATAAGAATTCGCGTCGACTGGGTATGTGTACTTTTGTTCGCAATTACCATATGAGCTGGTCGGAGATACTGCGTACCCTGACAAGCCGGTCTGCCCCAGTGCTGCTGTGAGTGTTTCGATCATCTTTTTAAGACCACTCACTTCCTGCTGCAACTGCCTCAGATCGTTATTCACTTGTCGCTCCGGAGCCTCACATCCACCTTCTTGATCGACCTGCTCCATTACCGCCCCCTCTTGTGCAGCCGGCAATACTGTACACCCACTATCTTGAAGCCTTAAAATTAACTCCTCCTTTGTTCCTGAGGTTTTCAACTGCGCTTCACGCAATGCGTTTTTTAGCTGCACCACCGTACACTTCTCGAGATCCATTTTGGTAAATAACCAGCGCAGGGTATTTGTTTCAGCTCACTTGTGACTGTCGCGAGTCTACTTTTAAAAATAAATTGTAGGCCAATTCTCAACGTTATAATATATATATGTATTTTTGTATCCGCTCCGTCGCTTCACGCGCCCGTCTTTACATTTCATTCGTACATAGCATAAAAAAAGGAAAAATGTCAAAACTCTTGCAGTTATGTGAGTGTTGCCAGACTGACAGTTGACAATACAATGCCGAGAAACTTAAGTATATTTGTACAAGGTATATTTACATTATTAAAAGACAGTAAAGGAATAGCACAATTTCGTTTCTTACAAATATGCATCCATTTGGATTTAGAGGATGAGATTGAGGCGCCTGAAGAACGTGACCAATTGTATATGAGAGATAGAATTTCAGTAAAAGATACTATAACCGAAGATAGATTAGAAGTTTTAGAAAATAGTAGCAAATCATCGCCGTAAATAAGATGGCTGTCATTAGGAAATTTGTTAATGGTGACCATCATTTCATCAATTTCATCAAATGCAATAATAACAAGTAAGAAAGTCTAAGTTCGGGCGGAGCCGAACATTAAATACCCGGCGCAAGTATTAAATATATGTTTTTTCACCCTTCCGAAACCTTCCGCTAGATGGTAAGCCGAGGTGTATCAATTTTGAGTAAATTAGCGTCCTTCAATTTCGAAATATTGAAGTTTCAAGCATTTCTTAAATTTACCGTTATATGAGAAT